TAAAATGATTCCACTTTTATTCTTTATCCCTAAAAAAAATTGGCAGGTACGCCCACAATATCACACTTTTTTCAAAATCAATAAACCGTTGATGGAGGTAGCCTACCTAGGTATTGCTCAATCAAGGAATGAACACATGATTTTAATAAAATATTTTCAATCCGAAATAGGCACCTACCTATATAAAATATTTTCGTACGCCTTTGAGAACTTAATTCGAATGGGACATGAAGGCCAAGTAGAATTAAAAATGAAACGGCGTGCTTGTTTTCCATTCTGTTTCGATACGTCGTGTGTCGTTGGTTGTCGTAGGTATCGAAGTAGAATAAGAATGAATATTCGCATTGCAATTAAGAATTTGTATACCTATGCCATGGATATTCAAGTCAAAATAGAATGATATTTCATTCTTTTGTCACTTGGCAGTCACAGACATCAAAGTAACATGAAAACTCAAGTCGCATTCGAATGTTATTTGATTCTTTTGCCAGTTGAATTTCCATTACACTTTGAGATCGCGGACATCAATGTAGAATAAAAATCAAGTCGCATTCGAATGTTATTTGATTCTTTTGCCAGTTGAATTTCTATTACACTTTGCGATCGCGGACATCAAAGTAGAATAATAATCAAGTCGCATTTGAAATGTGATATAATTCTTTTGTCAGTTGAATTTCCATTACACTTTGAGATCGCGGACATCAAAGTAGAATAAAAATGAAGTCGCATTCAAATGTTATTTGATTCTTTTGCCAGTTGAATTTCTATTACACTTTGCGATCGCGGACATCAAAGTAGAATAAAAATCTAGTCGCATTCGAATGCATTTCAATTCTTATGTCACTTGCATTTTCATTTACATTACACTCTGCTGTAGCTGACATCGAAGTAACATGAAAATTCATATGGCATTCGAATGTTATTCAATTCTTTTGTCACTTGCGTTTCCATTACACTTTGGCCTCACTGACATCGAAGAGACATTTTAACTAAGTCGAATCCAAATGGGACTTTGATTTCAATTGCATATGAACGGTTGCGACAGCTTATATGCAATGGATATTGCAGTAGCAGAAAAATGAAAGCAGAAATAAAATTAAAGTTGAATGAGAAGTAATGTTACATAGAAATCAAAGTAGAATGAGAATGCGAGTACAAAAGTATCTATTATATATGTTATGGCACATCAATTTCCATTGCATGTTGGTACCACGAGTCTTCCGTATAGCAAAAAAATCAACTTGGAATGGAAATGTAACTGACATCCAAATCAAAGTGATATAAAAAAAACAGTATCGCCATCTAGCACCGCTTCTGAGAAAAAAAAATTCCTTTTTCCCAGAGAGGGCGCCAGTAGTTTTCCATAGTACTTGAATTGTTTTGTCACTTGTATTTCATGGCATGTGAAGAGTTTGCTTCTTACAGATGCAATATAATTCAATGTCCCATAAAAATGCATGTGTAATAGAAATTCATTTTTCAATATGCAATCGTTTCAAGTTGTATTCCTTCGAATGCCATGTGGAACGTTGTTAAATATCAATGTGTCATGAAAATCAACTTGCATAGTTGCAAGTGAAATTTAATAAAGATTAATAAGTACATGTGGCATCAGATATTGTATTCGAATTGCTATTAGCAATGCGAATACCAATTCCGATCATGAAATATATTCTATTAAAATTATGTCAACTAGAATGAAAAATAAGTAACATTGAAATGGAACATTCAGTCCATGTCGAATAAAAAATAAAACGGCGTTCCATAAAAAAGTGACCAACGAATTCCCAAAGAACCCTAGAAGATTATTTTTCAACTGATTTACTGTATAGATTTTTTTCTGATTTTTGATTTTCTCATTAAACTCTTTCTATTTTATTTTTCTCTTCAGTTTTTTTATGGTGCCCCCCCCTATTTTTTCCGCTGGCGACGCCCTTGGCACGAGCCGCAGAGCGGCGAGTGCGGAAACGAAACGAGCGCAGGAAATGCACTTTCCAACAAGTTTTGTACACTATTTTTCCTACGACCACAAATATTTATATTATTATGTCATGAGTGTTTATAAGACCAGAGTAGGGATCATGTTTCTAATCATATTCGATCACATGAAGGTGACATCATTATCATTATCATTCAATTTTACTTCAATATTTAAATGACATCATTAGTTCAACGTTAACTTAACAATAATTCAACATCAACTTAACATTGACTCAACATGAACTTAACATTAACTCAACATCAACTTAACATCGACTCAACATTCACATAACATCAACTCAACATAAATTCAACAGTTACTCAACATTAACTTGAAATTAACTTAACATCAACTCAACATCAACCTAACATTAACTTAAAATCAACCTAACATTGACTCAACATCAACTCAAAATTAACTTATAATTAACTTAAAATCAAATTAACATTAACTCAATATCAATTTAACATCAACTTCATATTGAACACTGAATTGCCAATACATTGAAATTAATCCAACTCTCAATTGAAATTAACTTGATTTAAACTTTTCATCAACTTAACATTACGTCAACATTAACGACAATATAGGTGGATTTATGCACAACGCTTTTTCATTTATCTGTTGGTTTCATTAAGTGTCATTAAGTTTATTCTCATTCGAGGACTATGATACCTTTATGCACCACCACTTTTTAATTTTGAACTCTTCTTCTTGGTCAAAACATATAGTCCTCATCGTACATAGCCTGATGAAGATATTTGTGTTATAATAACATTCAGTGATCACATAATTACAATAAGAATCAATCATTCATATTGTTTTTAAAGTCTAATTTGAACATACGACTAGAATTTCCTGAATTTTCAACCACATTTTGGCATAAGAAGAGGAAGAGATTGTTTGTCTGACTTCTGACAGAATCGCGCCTGCGCAAGTCACAGTTTTATTTGTATTTGTCGTTAAGAGATAGAAGTTGGTCATCTTTTAGCGAATAGTTAATGAGAGATTAAATTCGATTTAGGTGCATGAATGAACGGGAATACCAAGTTTCAACTTATTAGTGAAATAGTTAATGATTGTGAAATTACAGATTAATGAAAAAGCGGTGTGCATAAATCCGCCTTAACTCATGTTAAATCGACACTCACTTTCCATAAACTTGACAATAACTTAACTTACCTTTACATTAGTCTAACATTAACCTACAATCAGTTCAACATTGATTCAACACTTTACATTAACATTAGCAGTTACAAGCTTACCCGATAGATGACTCAAGCGCTGTTGTAGACAGCAACGAGGTTATGTCTCGCGATATATATGATTTATTAATTTATTATGAATGACAAAAAAACATAAACCTGATCAAGATACGAAATGATAAAAATTATTAACTAATGGAAATGAATGTATTTGAATGGACGTATAATAAATACCTATAGTGATTTATTTACCAAGTAAGTACATCATATAGGTACCTTCCTAAACCTTGTGTGATGAGCGTGAGTTTTTTCAATATTCCAACACACGTGAGAAACACTTTCGAACTTTTGCATCACTATGGTGACATGAGCTACTTTCTAAATAACAGAGTAGTGTGTTTTATGCTGTTTTCGTAGGTGGTCGTAGGAAAAAATATATTGTCAGGGATGAAGTTTAAATCACCCCGTTATGGAATGCTATATACAAGCTGTCGATTCATCGGTTTCATCATCATAAATTCTATCAACTCCAACAAATTGTGGAAAGGAACTCCGATGAATCGCCTTGTGCAATTTTATCGTTTTCTCATGTGAACAAGGATTTTCTGCGTTGTGGGTAATTGAAAACAAGGCGAGCAATCGTTTGAGAGTAATTGATGATTGCGTGTAGCTTTGAGTAACAATATCAGTCCTAGGATAGCCGAACTCGTGACGAAGAAGCAAGCTCAGAAACTACATTATCACAATTTTTTTCCATGTTCTGGTTCCCACAAAAAGGGATATCCTGTAACGTTCAAAGAATATCGTGAGAACCAAGGTAAATAAGGTAAGAATTGGTGTTCTTCTTGAATTTTTGGAGGTTATATGCCTCGGAGGACACCTCCCTTGGCAATGTGTTCCAGAGCCTCGCTGTTCGTTGGATGAACGAGTCTTTGGAAAGAGATGTTGTGCAGGTCTCCAAAGTGACCACGAAGGGGTGCGAACCCTCAACTCGACGGGTGAATCTCGCGGGGACTGCCAAGGGAGGAACAATTGTTGATATTTCAGAAGAGCATCGTCCATGAAAATATATATAAAAAAGAGCCAGTTCGCCAACTTTTCTACGGTGTTCCAGAGAAGTGAGTGGGTTTGTGAGCGAGACATCACCCACGACACGAATTGCCCTATTTTGGACAGAATCCAATAGTTTCAGAGTATGTCTGGGTGCTGCACTCCAAATATGGGAACAGTATTCCAAAACAGGTCGGATCTGTGCCTTATAGATCATGAACAGCTGACTGGAAGTGAAATAGCTCCTGGCCCGAAACAGAAAACCAAGTTTGTGAGATGCACTTCTAACAATTGATCTAACGGGATTTTCCCAAGAAAGGTTATTGCTGATAGTAATACCAAGCATCGAAATGGATGTCTCCAGAGGTATGGTTACTTCTTACAAGCTAATGTTGGGCACAGTGGGATCGGATTTTCTATAGAAAAGGCATGCTTGTGTGTTGTTTGCATTGAAATCTACCATTTAGAGAAATTTATGCTAAAAATATTTAATTTTCAATTAAAGCTCCAGTTTGATTATAACAGTTCATTTTTATTATACCCACATACTGGTCCCTGCTTACAAGAATGATGTAAAACGGCTTCCTGACCAAACAAAAATTGGAAACCCCTGCGCAAAAAAAATGTAGTCATCAATCAAATTAAACATCCTCTCCTCCAAACCCATTCTAATCGCTATCAAATACAAATATTGACAAACTTTATCCATTATCATATATTTATGGATCAGTTTATTCTAGCATTTTTCAGAAATCGTAACTTACCACCAGTCTTTCCTTGAGTTTTTGACTCATGAGTGATCTAGCAAAGTCATATACGTATTTGAGAGCTGTAGGAATATTCACCACGTGGATGTCTTTATGTCGCATTGGAAATGATTGCTGAAACAAAAATATAAGCATCGAATCAATACAGGGTGACATTTTGAAAACTCAGGGTATAACATGAATTTATAGTCATGTTGTAGCCATCTAGTGGCAAAGCTCTAATGTAGGATACAGAAATCGCGACGCACACTGTATGGCGCTGCCATCTACAGTCACACGTACAGACCCCTACGTCTATACGCTACATCTCTTAAGAGATCTAGCAGTTGAATAGGTGGTGGAAAAATTCCACTCAAGTATCAAGGTTGGTAGAACTGATTATAATTTGGAGAAACATAACAGGTATGTCATATCTTATTTCTCAGCCACCATTTTGTTCAACAACTGTATTTATTACACTTTCTAGGTAAGTACTTTTTAATTTGTGTCTGAAGATGGTCGTAGAGCCGAAACTATAGTAACATACTGCTTATATATAATTTTGATATTTAATATTGTGGTCGACCGACTTTGAGTTCGTTTTTCTCCTGTTGAAAACGATTAAGGTTAAATTGCACTTATTATGCGATGGTTTTTTTTTCGAACAAATGTTTTGTTACTCAAGTATTCTTGTCTGAAAAACACGAATTTGATAATCAAAATATGAACAAACCATCATTCATTGAATAAAATATTTCACTATGAAGTTACAAATTTCACCTTCTTTTCTGTCTTTTGGATCGCATTCAGAACTACTTGGCCTTCTTTTTTCATCATTGGACAATTTATACATCACAATGTATCTCAATGACACATTTCCTTCTATTTGAGTCCAGCTAAAAATATAATTGTCTTGCAATTCATCCATATTTAGTGAAAAGAGGGATGAAAATCATTTAAAAAAATGGTGTGTGTAACGTCAATCAAAAACAATCTGTTGACATTTGACATCTCGTATTTGGATTGATTATTGATTAAATGGCCATCAACAGGTATGATTGTTCACTAAATATAAAAAAGTTACCTTAAAAATCATATTTTGTGTTGAATTTTCTATATAAAAATGTGTCATTGAAGTACATCATGAGTATATAAAGTGTACAATGACACAATAAGAAAAGCAAGTAGCTGTAAATGAATCCAAGATGTGTCCAAAAAGTAGACGAAATTTCGAAATTTTTTTGCAATATCTCGATGAATAGTGGTTTGTCTACATTTTCATTACCAAATTCGTGTTTTTCCGACAAAAATACGTGTGTCAAAATCAAAATTAAGTTAGAAGATTCCATCACATGTAAACATACATACAATAGCTAATAAAAGCGTAGTAAAAATTACAGTAATAGATATAAACTTTTTTTGATAAAATTATAATTCGAAGAAGCAACTCTCCGATCCCCGATATGTAATCAAGAATACCGTGTATAATTCAGCTATTAAATATAATGAATGTTCTTTTTAAGTGTCAATAAAGAGCCAACATTAAAATTTAACAACTCAGGTACGAAAAACATAATATGTGGAATTGTGTTGGTCTTATATAATGAGATAATAATTTAATGTACCACGCAATTCATCATAATATAATGAACATTGCTGACTGGAAAAGAAACATTTCGCAAATTAGTTCAGATTCGCTGTCAAAAGACAAGAAATATTTAGTTTCAATCGTTAAAGATAACTAGGTACACTAGGTATAATAGGTTATAATATACCATTTCCGTGGGTTTGTCGGTTAATGAGATTGATTATGTAATGACGTATATATGATAACAATTCTTTGCCATTATTTCCGAATATTATGTGATTGTGACCATTATAATTATGCTTATGAATATATTTTCTAAATTGCAAACTTGTTAAATAAAAACTGATCTAACCTACTTTTTCATAAATCTAAACAAATATCAATGTTATATGACCCTGACTTATTGAAATCGACGCACTCAGTTTCAGTTTTGGTTCTCATACCTAGAGAAATTAATCGTAGGTCGTTGGTAAAGGTTACCAAAATGAATAAATGAATATCATACAACAAAAATGCTGTAGCTACGAGGTCAAACACCACTGCTCTCCAAAAAAATTAACCATCATAATTATGAAAATATCATGACGATCATTGGATTCAGAATTCAGACTCTATACATGCACAAGCAGTGCTGGTCTCAAAAATATTCCTTATCTTTCAGGTCTTTGGATTTTTTTCCATGACACATTTTTGAAGTGATAATAAATTCTTTAGGCACGTTGGACGTTTTCTGGGATGGAAGTAAAACGGCAAACTCGCGTCCCGGGTGCCGCGTACCATAAGACCGGCATAATCATATAAGCAGTATACCTATACCATAACAGTTCTACGCACACCAGTTTTTTTTTATTGAAGTTTGTTGAATAAAATGACAAATATAATATAACAAACAAGATATTGGGGAATAATAGTATATTACATAACAAGAGTAAAGTTGTAAAACGCATATTACGCACGGAGTGGAGAGAGTAATTCCACAAGTGCGTAATTGCTTTACAACTCGAGAATTGTACTATACTTTTTCTACGACTACACTATATTTTCTTCCGGATAGTGCAGATAATGTATTATGGCACAAATAACGAGTACCTATATATACAGGTCTCCCGCCACTAAACCAGCAGCATGAAAAGTTACAAATCAAAATTCTTGTGTTTGTTTATTGATACATTGCATATTGAGACATTTTCCTCAATTCGAACCGAAATGGAGCCTTTTTTCATATCTAAACAACTTTATTAAGAGCAGAAAACACATTATATAAAAATATGAAGTCAACATTCATAATGGTTATTTATTGTAACAGTGCAGAACGAGAGATTCTGTAATCGTTATCAAAAATAATTTAAAAAAAGTTCTCCATTAATTTGTTTCAACAGATATTTTATAGATATCACTATTAATATTGTGTGATTGATATTTAGTGTTGATCGTAACATGGAATATATCGACCAGAGTGATGATGATTTCATCGAATTTGATAATCATTGAAAATATACTAAAAGAATATGTTCCGAAAACGACACATTATTATTTGTAATTCTCCAGTCCAGGACCTTTTGATGTGCTATTTCGTATCATTCACGAGACTTAGCTGGTAGCAACTCATTTTTAGCCATTCTAGCTTTTCCCAACATTTCTGGTGGTGTAGAAATAATCTGCTCATCGTCATAGCTACTGACATTAACGAAATAGTTGATTGTTATTGACACATCGCCTAAGCAAAAAAACAAAGTCATCTATCAACATACCTATGAAAACAGTACGATCGCTCTATTTACGCATCACTTACAGTAGTAGTCGTAGGAAAAATTAAAAACATAATTCTTTAGTGTTCACATAATGAATAATAAGGAAAATGAATAGGTATATGTTAGAATAAAAAAGGAAAATCAATTGATAATAGGCAAGTATGTAACTAGGGACATAAAGTAACAATACAAAAATGTGTTTTCTTGCTTCAATACAAGCCTTTATGTATGATACTCTTCACAAGCTCTATATACATTAGTTTCATTTAGTAGATCTTGTTTGAGTTGAGACAAAGTTGTTAGCTCGAAAAGACGATATTATATCACATTATTCTCATGTAGAACTTGGACTAATTCCATAATAGAAGTTCCTGCTTTAGTCTCTAGGAGAGAAATCGGATTTTTTCCGACAAATAACATTCGTCAGAAACAAATTTGTTCAGATCCTCTAGCTACTTTTTTTGTAGTTCAGTTGCCAATTTGATCAAATTCCCATTCTCTGCTGACACTATCTTGAAGAGGAAGTCAAATGAATCTGAAGAAGATTTGTAGGTGGAAGTCCGACAAAAAATTTCAAATCTGCAACTTGAAATAAAACACTGTCTCCGCCATTTTTCTCTCTGGTTTGAACTTTTCGCCGTATTTTTTCTCCTAACAAATAGTGATCAAATCTTTCGCGTAAAAAATCAAAATATCCAGATAATGACTGATGACAAAAGATGTGTTGTATTTTCAAATAGCCGCCCTGAATATTTTGCCGCCTGGTGCTATAGCACCCAAATAACACCTGGTAAAACCGGCACTGTACCACAAGTTTCGACCGAAACAGAAAGTGGTCGGGATCGAAATTTCACCAAAACATAAAGTTGATGACATACAGCTCTGCATTCAGTAAAAATAAGCATATAGGTGGAATGACCTAGAAACTTGAATTATTTGTTGTAGAAATATACATGGTGGCTGGAATTCGAGGTTCATGATTGGGACCGTAATATATACAGGCTTGGTTGAATTATGGCGGTTACGGTTTTAGGAAATTCCGGGTTTTCTCGAATACAGGATGCTTCGGAATTAGCCTGTCCTTCACCAGGGGCTTCAATGACCAAAAATACGAAGTAAATACAAACAGCTCGAAGTCATTTCCACACAATGTTTATAATATGAATAATAATGGTAGATTTCTGGAGAAAAACAACTATTTTCCTGGCTAATGCCACGTAGAGTCCCTGTATGTATAATTCCCTGTATATATTTGTCAAAAGTGTCAAATACATACAGGGACTCTAATGCCACGCAGAACATCATTGAATTAAATCCTCCCGAAATCTATGCATTGATTCGTACGAACGAATACTGATACAAGTGATTCTCTTCTGAATGCCTATTGATTTCGATTTAGCCAGGCCACCCTTGACACCAACAGACTGGTTTCCAGCTCTGTGACTCTCATCAGTGCAGGGCAATCTCCATCAGCCAGCAGTCCTGAGACCGCCGACTAAGCGTAGCCTAGCCAAACACTTTATTCATGTGAGCAAACTTAGCGATCAGAATCGAAGAAGTTTTATCTACAACATCAAATGAAATATCATTCAGAAATGTCATTAAAAACCATTTCGATAGAAAATAAATCTATCTCATGGACTTGATGCACATCTACAACCAATTTAACACTGCTGTTTTGACGTTTTCTGTATATTAGAGTACGGACACTATGACAATAAGCACTGACAAACAGACAGCCACAAATAAATTGATGGAAAAAGCGGGAACTGACAGTACATGGAAGTACATGACATAAACTTTAAAGGTTTGACGAATTGGGAGAATTAGGAGAAAGATGCAAGTTTGTGTAGTTTCCAACTGTGAGAACACGGGAAATCAATTCACTCTATCCGAATTTCCATCGGATAACGTAATTCTACAAAAATGGAAACAGAATATGATGCGGCCGGCTTGGAATATAGGTTCAGGCCACGAAATTTGCGAGGTATTCAAATTTCTTGGTACGATATACAACATTTTTCAACGCATTTTCATCAGGTACACTTCAGAACGGAAGAGTTGATATTGAAGAATAGGATCGTATTGAGAGAAAGAGCCGAACCCACAATTTATAAACTGAGCGAGTATTTAAAATAACCTCATTCCAATTTAGAACCAACAAGAAACGGAAAACGCGTGGAATAGAGTGAGGAATTCAGGAAACAAATAAAAAAAAAATAGCAATGTTAACGGCGATCTATAGCTGTTATTGTTGCCACATCTAATTGTTCATTTATTAATTACTCATCACTTACCACTCTTGTACAAGTGAAATTGTTCCATACGAAATAAAAGTATGTTTCATAATTGGTTAAAATTTATCAGTTTTTTCTCCATTCTGAACTTTTGAGTTCAAAAAATATTCAACTGAACGCATATATATACCAACATATTAGAGACTTATTTCATAGGAATAGTATATGTATTCCGTTGGTATCGATCTCCATTGAGGTCCTTCATCCTTATCATTCAATATTTCGAGGAAATAGTTATTTGTTTAACTAGGCAGCAAAGTAGTAGATTGACTGCCGTGGCTGAATTCATAGCCGAGCGTAGCGAGGCTAGGAATCCAGTAAAGGCAGTCAATCTACTGTGCTGCCGAGTTGAACATATGATTTTTTCTCCGATTATTCATAATGATATGGGAGAATATTGTGTTTGCGAATTAATACAATTCCCACAATCTCTTTATTCTTCCTGTATAGTGTTCAATTAAAATAAAATTTGATAGAAATCGCAGTTGTTGGTTTGACAATTCATGAAATTTCTGACAGTTGTGCGAAACAATATCGGTATATTTAAATTATTATATAATGGACAGTGATAGCGACCTGGAAGTATACTTACACCTCCATTAATAAGGGAGGTGGCAAAAAATATAGAGTTGAATTTGTTGTCGGAGAAGTCTTGGATGAAATTTGAAGGAAATTATAAACGATTTATGGATTTTTAATTTTGCTGATACATATCAATCAGCAAAGTAACCACTTTGCTGCCTAGGCAGCAAAGTACCCACTTTGCTGCCTAGGCAGGAAAAGTAATACTTTGCTGATTGATATGTTCAGCAAAATTAATATTTGCTGCCAATCGGAGGAAAAATAATTTTCTGATCAATTTATCGTACCCTTTTACCCAATCGAGGAGACGCTATGCACCCTCCTCCAAAAATCAAAGACAGAGAAAGATATATGGATGTACTCTTCCCAGGACTTGTGGAGGAAGGAAGATTCGAGGATCCTTTATCTAAGCGAAAAACATATTCTTGTATTTGTCTGGCAAAACATAATATGATCTGCTTCTCAAAATTGTTTGTGGTTATGTTTGATTGTCACTGCTTGTCTAGTGTCCGTACTCTTATTTAAAAAAAACGTCTAAACAGCAGTGTCGAGTACCTACATTTAGGAACTCTAATGCAATCTACATGCATGATTCACAGTGTTGCCGACATAGAAAATGCAAAGTAGATCCACTCACTTCTCCCCATCGGATGAGATAGGCGAACTCCGTGATGCTGAACAGGCCGATGAAGGATGGACCGACGGCGCTGACGTCACCCACGTGACTCACGCCCAAAATCTGGTTCTCCTCGTCGTCCATCAACGTCTCGTAGGTGATCGCGTGCGCTCGAGACATATCGGTGCCGTCAAATTTTTGTATATCGAATTTACCTGGAATACACACAAGACACTTTCAAAGAACTTACATTAGTCCAATAAATGAAGGAGGAAAAAAAGGCAAAGTTAACGTTAATTACGCACTATTTTCATCTTCCGGTTGGAAGTAGCTTTTGGTACCTCATTAAACATGAGACAAAGTTTGACTGGAAAACGCGTGCGATGGCGAAGAAAATGGCCCCAAAAGACCAGGAAAATAGGTTTTCAACGAATATCTCCTAAAATATGGCAGTAAGAGATTTTCGGTTCAGATAAAAATTGAAGTTCAGTTAATTTTCGACAAAAATGATCCTCATCATTTTTCTCGGAAATTTGCCCGGTTTCGAGAAAAACGGCACGAAACGCACCTCGAATAATGAACTTCTTTGTTGTATGCCGCAGAGCACAGTCCGTGTATTTACACATCGGCGGGGGGACAAATTATTCAATAACTTTGTTAAAAATGCATATTTTCTCATGATTCAAAGTTCATGTGAAAGAGTCTGCTGCTATCATGCCCTGACGACCCGAGCGCCACGTAGGGCACACACGCAGCGAACTACGGAGGAACGAAAGTAATAAATTATAGCGTGTACATTTAGATATACTGTTTTTTTCCCGGGATATCAAAGGTATGACTTTTATACATCGATGGAAAGGTGGGAATACCCCCGTTACACTAGTTAAGGTGTTAAAATGTTAGAAATAAAGAACACGGAGAAAAAAAACACCGAAAAAAAAAGTGCGTTTCTTCCTCGACCCCGGTTTTTCTAATTTAATTGAAAAATGGACCACTTTGTCTAAAAAAGTAATTGCACAATCGAAAAGTAAACCTTCTCAGCTTTCAAATGATGTATCATAGAAACCAATCGGATCATGTATAAATTTTTGTATTAATGGTTGTTCACAAAATTTCCCCGCGCTCCAAAAACAGCAAAAAATTGGGATTCAATAAACAAAGATTAAATGAAAATTGAAAAAAATAGGGTATACAAATTTCAGGGATGACAAAGGACCTTATGAGGACCCATAATCAAGAAAATTCCGAGTAAATTAGTGCAATACAAAAAAATAGGAACAAATTCCTGGCGAGGTCAAAATTGACCAGGAGCAGAAAGTTTGACCCATGTTCCGATATGGCCAAAAGAGTCAAGCGTGACTCAATTCACAGGGTATGATAGCAGCAGAATTCCTCTTTCACATGAACTTTGAATCATGAGAAAATATGCATTTTCAACAAAGTTATTGAATAATTTGTTCCCCCGCCGATGTGTAAATACACGGACTGTGCTCTGCGGCATACAACAAAGAAGCTCATTATTCGAGGTGCGCTTCGTGTCGTTTTTCTCGAAACCGGGCAAATTTTCGAGAAAAATGATAGGGGCCATTTTTGTAGAAAATTAACTGAACTTCAATTTTTACCTGAACCAAAAATCTCTAACTGCCATATTTTAGGAGATATTGGCTGAAAACCTATTTTTCTGGTCTTTTGGGGCCATTTTCTCCGCCATCGAACGCGTTTTCCAGTCAAACTTTGTCTCATGTTCAATGAGGTACCAAAAGCTACTTCCAACCGGAAGATGAAAATAGTGCGTAATTAATGTTAACTTTTTCCCTTTATTTATTGAACTATATCCAATAGATCTAGAATTAATAGGTTTGCTTGAATGTCAGCTAGAGCGAAACAGGACTGTTTCTGCAGCCAAACAAAACATGCATCGAAAGAATCATACGATGTCAAAATAATGATAATAATATTAATATACGTAGACATAGATTCAAGTTATCATTCAGGGATTCTACGACTTTTCAAGCGGATAAAAACAATCAGAGAAAAATCCAAATCCCTTTCAATCCCAAGTACACAGGAAGACTTGATGAGGTTTTCAAAGACTTAGGTTTTGGAAGCGTTCATCAGTCTCAGTCAAAGTTAGGCAATTCATTAGCTAATCCAAAAGATTAGGTCGACACACTTGAAGACTCAGGAATATGTGGAATTACTTGTAATGATTGTGATGAAACATATATAGGTCAAACCAGGCCTATTTCCACTCATGAAGCAAGGTTGTCAAGTCACCATTATATTTAATCAAGTTATTGAAAAGTTGTGTGAGCCATGTTGTTGAATATGACTATATTCGCGGTCGCCATGGTCATCAGATGACTTTGCGATGTCAAAAAACTATTGGAAAACATATCTAACTTTCAATCTATGTCAGGAGTTAAGATGTTTTCCCGTAGTTTTGAATGTCATTGCAACGTCATCTCATTACCTTCGCGACCGCGAATCCAAGCTAAAGATTTCATTCGACCTAACAGGAGGACGCCATGATACTATCCTACTAAACATATTTCAGTATCATGAACATTTCAGGAATTTCTTACGGATATCTGAAACCTTTCCACGTTAGTCTCTCTGAAGTTTAAGAAACGTTCCAGAGAAGGTAAATGTCCTACCTCAGTGGAGTTTCATGGAACGTTTCAACAACATCGTCTAAATCATCTAAATGGTGGTCAAAGGCCTAAGGTGAATTCAATGACCGAGCCACCTACACCTACCAGCGGTAGGAATCTTTTTTCCAAGTGAAAAAGTGAAAGAGAAATGTGATCTCATATAATACTCTTATATAAAAAAAGATATTTGTTATTATTGCAACAATTTACTTCGAAATAGGTGACTAATTGATGATACTGTAAATTGACAATGATTGAAGTACGGTTGAAAGGAAGTCAATAGAATGAATAGTAGTTTGAACAACTTGAATTGTGTAACCGTTTATCAGGGTCCTCCTACGGAAACTTCATGACATACGAGTACTTGGTGCAAGGCACTGCCGTGTTTCTGGATGTAATCATTCTTTTCATATAACAAGACCATATTTGGTGCAAGGCAGCGCATTGTCACTGGATGTGAAAATCGCTCAACCAGAAGATCCTGATCAAGATAATGGAATGAAAAAAGGGTACGAAGTTACAATTCAATTTGACCTTTTGAAGTGGGTCAGAATTAGGTTCGTAGATTCCAGGTTGAAAACAAACATAAATAATCATGGGTACATATCAAGCTAATATGAGCGTGTCAAAAATATACTTACTGGAATCATAAATCACTACTCTCCTTCCATTACAATCTCTGAAGGGGCTCACGAAAATATACCTGCAGAACAAATGGTTATTTAGTAATGGTTATTTGTTTTATTATGCAGAAAAGCACAAGATTTTATGCCGAGGCTGGCGTTTCATAGCCAATAAGCCGTAGCCGAGGCTAGGAAACCAGCCAAGTCATTGAATCTTCTTTTCTGTCATGAGAAACATATAATTTTATTTCCCAATTCGTTTCAATTTCACGCAAAGTCCAAAATCCACCATTTTGTGTTCACTAAAAGTCATTGTCAATTTTGATTCAAATTATTGCTTGAAACATTTTTTCATATACAACAAACTTTTTCTGCCTAGTGAAGGTTTACCGGTGTCGCGTCAATTGGACGTGGAAAATTGGACGCACGACTATTGGTCGCACTCAATTGGACGCGGCGACAATTGGACGCGGCGACAATTAGACGCGGCGTCAATTAGACGCGGCGACAATTCGACGCGGCGACAATTCGACGCGGCGACAATTGGACGCATGCGTAAATAAAAATGATTTTATAATTCCAATGAAATTCATTGTATAAAATATGAAATACTGATGGGCTTATATCCATAATTATAACAAATATCTATGGCCTCGTTTGACAATTATTTTCCTATCTCATATCGTAATATGAATTTACGATACGAATATAGTACAATATTTTTTCTACTACCAAAAACGCTGATTATTCAATCAAATATGAGGGTTGGGCGTATACATACTTGTCGTTAGGTTAGGTTAGGTTAGGTTAGGTTAGGTTAGGTATTTGTTATATTATAGATATGAGCCCTGCATATTCCATGCAATAAATTTCATTGGAATTATTAAATTATTTTTATTTTCGCATGCGCTCAATAATTGTCGCCGCGTCCAATTTTCGTCGCGTCCAATTGTCGCCGCGTCCAATTATCCGTGTCCAATTTTCGTGCGTCCAATTGACCACGTCCAATTGTCGGTAATCCAGGTTTACCTTCTCTGCTTGTCAAGTGTTATTGGAAAGCCACTCCCAATGTCATTTGGAAAAAAAATGATTTTTTCATTGAAAAGGAATATTCCAGATATAATTATGATCATAAAAAAAATGGATATATTTATATAAAGAAATACATTGACAATTCGCATTCTCTATGTGATGAAAATATCAATTCTTCCTCTGTTTATTCAACAATTCAAGAGAAAACAACTACTTTCCTGGCTATATGCCACGACGAACATTGAATTACATCTATTGAACACACGATAAGAATTTGAAAACAAAATCTTCTGAAGTATAGAATCTGCATTCTTCTTCATATAAAGATATGCACATATTATTCTGAATATTCAACAGAAAACAACTACTTTCCTGGCTATTTGCCACGTCGAACATTGAATTATATCTGTTGAACATCCAAAAAGAGAGCATGAAAAATGAAAATCCTCTGAAATTGGGAATTGACATCATCTCCAAAATCGGATAAAATGATTTGATCTATTATGATATGAAAATATAACTCACCAATATGTTTAGTATTGAAATGAAAATTGAAATGTATTTGAGAAGTATACTTGTATAAACTCGGATTTTGATGAGCTTGAAACTCCCAAAAAAAAAAACATTTCATTATTTCACAATGATAAATGCTCGGATAAATGATTCGCAGATCATTAAAATACCAAGTAAATACCCTCATTTGTCTATAAAAAAAAACAATAATGATGAATAAACCAAAAGGGTAAAATCTAGTCATGACAAGACGAATCCTAGTCAACTTAACCCCATGTGTATATATTTTCCTTAACATTCACACTAAACAAACTCACCCGCTATCGATGAGCTCAGATATTTTTGTATCCGTGTAATCCAGATCGAACATGATGTGCTTGAACTTTTTCCTAAAGTTGAGATATTTCAGTAAGGTCTGTTCCGCCATTGCTAAACTGAATTTCTTCACGCGCAGAAAACGCAGAAGAAAATTATCATCTGGAAAATTAAAAGAAGTAATATAATGAGTGAACTTGCCGTTGCTCAGCAGAAACATCGCAAGAGGAATAATATACTTCAATTTATTATATCGGAAAGTTCAACAAATTCACATAAAGCCAATTTTCCCCTTGTTGCGGTGCGGGGTCCTTTCTCATCATAATGAAATAGTTGTTTATCTAACAAGTGCGGAAAAGTCACTTTGCGCACGTTTGTAGAAAAAATGATGTGTCTATCATTTTGTCTACAAACGTGCGTGATTCACCCTATACCCGCACGCAATTTAGTTTGGGAAGTATCATTTTCCCGCAGTAGTGCGGGAAAAATTTTCTCACACTAGTGCGGGAAAAACATTTATCTAAAATTCTCAAGAAATATGAGTGATATGTGACAAAATATGAAAATTTTAGGTTTTTTCGTTGCAGTATTTAGTAAGTTTGTACAAAATCATCCATAAAATGGCACTATTTATTGTGAAAATGAAGAAATATTGAAATAGCATATTGTGCAACAAGTGGGAAAAGTTCAACTTTTCTCACGAGTGTGGAAGAAAGTTTGTGGCACGAGCCTGAAGGGCGAGTGATGCAAACACACGAGTGAGAAAAGTGTTTTTTCCCACATGTTGCGCACGTGTTAGGAACAACGTTTTTCCTACGAGCTTCATATCAGATGAAAAGGAAGGAAAATTATAACTTATTGAAAAATGTAACAATACAACAATCACATATAACAATGAAATATAATAATAGAAAATCACATTTTCCCTACGAGCTTCATATCAAATAACAACGAAAATAAAAAAAATTCAGCTTAAATTACAGTTTATTGAATAATTTTTAGTTTAACTTGATAGAAATAGCTAAACAACAAACAATTACATATCAGAAGAATAGGGAAGCAAATCATTTGTTCCTAATATTTATATTGAGGTATAATACAAATATCTGGACGAACGGTTGAAAAGTAATAAAAGGGATAACGGCTTCTTATAGTGCACACAATAGTCTACAGCAACTAAAATGAATAATTATATAAATGTTCCATACCAGTGAGATTTTTGGGTAGTTTTACTCATTCACTCGCCGTGCGGATAACATCCATATCCGTAATGAGTGCGGAAAAGTATTCATTTGCGCACGCAAATGAGTGCGTAAAAGTACGACTTTGCGCACGCTTGTAGGAAGAATATTGTTCCTAACTCATGCGGAAAGTGTCTTTCCCGCACTCGCCTGCTTGCCCGAACTCCTTTTTGCGTCATTCGGGTCAACGGCAATCACGTGCGGGAAAGTATCACTTTCCGCACTCGTTAGGAGAATTACTATTCTCTACTATCGTTCAGCAGAAAGATCCCACGATCATTTTATGAAGTACCTTTCATGCGCTACTAGAGAAAAAAAAATTATCAATAATATTATCATTAAGAACCCACGATCAGTTGTTGAAAGCAGCTCTTCAGGGTGAACCTAAAAATGCAATGAAATACAGGGTGTTCCATTTGAAATTCGATGTTGATGCCTGTTACGCTTATATTTAAAAAATCAATTTTTGACATACACACACTGGCACCAAGGTGGATTATATCTATCCACCTTTACTGGCACAATGGGCGTGTACACCTTAGTAGAACTTTCAACTCAAACCATGTTTATAATGATCCTTTTATACATAAATAATGATTGACGACATAATTCGATCGAAAAATTAACTGGAATGTTTTATTTTTGGACATCAACGATAGTACCTTCTGAAAACGGAGACCCTCTTATGACGTAGAAACCCCATCTCGCCATATATATATATAAACCATATATTCTACTGATATATGAATCATAGCTCTCCTCAAAGCGGGACCCATTTCTGTATAGGTAATGAAATCGACCAATAGGCGTTGATACCGACGTTGGGAAAAAATAATAGGAAATTTGTCAAACCAATATGGCTGTTTCCATCCTTCACTTTTCGTTCTCATAGATTCAAAGAGTACCTCTCATTTTGGTCCCATTTTTGTTGAGATATCGTATAGGCGATGCGCCATATATAGAAATAGTAGATATATGGTTGAAACTGACACTCTCCTGACACTTATTACTGTTGCCATATCATCCAAACAAAATATCCGAGAAATCGAAATCGATATTGAAATATCTTTTGATATCCACTACCACTACTGCAAAAAAATATATTCGAGTTGTCGATTGTAGGTTGAATCATTGGAGTATAAACAATCTCTAGACAACGAAATGTCTCAATCTCAAAACCATTTGCACCATTACAATTTCACAATAATCCAATATATTTCATAAACATAGCAACATTGCTTTGTTGACCCGTTTCACATGGAGCTGCAAAAAGTCAATCTAGGTTAGAATTTATTTGTCAGAAATCATGTATCATTCATCTCTGTCTGGAATAGTCTTGTTTCAGTATTAGGGTTTTGACGTCACATCATCGCCTCGTTTTCAGAGGTCCGAAAAATCGGGGATTTCAATAATTTTTTATAAAACGTAGGGAGCTCACAGCAAGAAACGGTTTGCGGTGGTGAGCTAGTTTGGGTGAGTTCTATCGAATTATGAAATAAAATTTTTTTGTGATATAAGCCCATTAGGGGAACGGGTGAAATTTACACTAAGTTTGACATCAATTTTCTCTCGAACCGATTACTCGATTCAAATTTGTTTTTCACGAATTGTAGCTTCATTCTTCACGAATACATCTGGGAAATAACCACCTCCAAACGATTCGTCTTTATATCATATACAGGGGTGTAAAGAAAGTACGGATTTTTCGGTATTCTTTAAGACATCCTGTGGAGTGAACCACTGATAATTGAAACGATTTTCCAACACCAAATTATAGCCCAATCTATCCCGAATATTTTCGTTTTTTATTCATCTTGATATCCCAATTATCCAAGAAAATATAGAGTTTCAAAGAGGTGGATATTGGTATTAATTTTACCACCTCGAAACTCGAACTGGGGAGAACCTGTCGTTTTTCAACTTGTTTCTGTGAGGATTTTTACTTCAAGATGGGAATTTTTCACAGTTTTACCTATCGGTTTACTGTTTAGAGACACATATACGAATACTCTCATGAATATGCAGGGGTGATAAAAGTTGCTCCAATGTTCTTTTGGTGAAATGCTATTTTTGTTAATCAACGTTGACTATTTTGTTCATGTCATTAATTATTGTCAAAGTCAAGCGATTCACAATTCATGAATTTGATTAATGGAAATTCAACATGGGACATTTGACTCCTACTGATGTAGGGAGGGCTGAAAATGACCAGTGGGCCAATGTTCTTTCAACATATGAGAGCCGCATCTGCACCAATTCAATAGATGGCAGGGAAAGACTATATCGCCGAGGTGAACAAAATGAACAATTTGATTTTACTGCTTGTGTCTCCTATGGCAGAGGTTTAGTCATGGTTAGGTTAGGTTAGTCAAAAAACACATTTTCAGATCCAATTTGAGTTTAGAGGTGTAAAATTGATACCAATATCCACCTTTCCTTTGAAACTCTGTATTTTCTTGAATAATTGAGATATCAAGATGAATAAAAAACGAAAATATTCGGAATAGATTGGGCTCCAATTTGGTGTTGAGAAATCGTTTCAATTATCAGTGGTTCAGTCCACAAGATGTCTAAAAAAATACAAAAAATCCCTACTTTCTTTACACCCCTGTATATGATGGAAAGACTCATCGTTTGGAGGTAATTATTTCTCAGATGTATTCTTGAAGAGTGAAGCTACATTTCATGAAGAAAAAAAATTTGAATCGAGCGATCGATTCGAAAGAAAATTGATGTCAAACTTAGTGTAAATTTTGCCCGTTCCTCTAATTGTGCCAGTGTGTGTGTATAATGAAGGTCACGTGACTCCGACAGAGTATGTTATTCTTCATCTTTTTGAAGCAAAACTTGACGCTAAAGTCGAACTCCGAAATAAATTATTAATAACGATTTTTTTTCTTATGATGTCAACTTTCTGGAAGACACTGCGTATATTTATAGACATACATACTTGAAGTTTCATTAGTGAATAATATAGTGTAGATGCAGATGCACCCCCCTGAAAGTAATCCTGGAGGCGCCCATGCTTCAACTTATCGAAATTTCGGAATCATATGTATATGGATCTCATAAAAAATGTCAATGATGTAATATGGAATGTCGAGAAAGGTGAATTTTTCTTAATGACTCGTATTAAATAATAAGCACTAATTAATTATTAGTATTTCACAGTAATACAGCTGACTGTTTAAGCAATGAGGATATCGTTATTTCTTGCGATTACAACTTACAAAATCTCATGTTGTATACTATACTTCAGTCATCAGTAACGAATGAATAGGAAATACATCATCATTTACATAAGTATGTATTCTATAACGAAATTTATTCAAACAACGAGAATCAAACCGAAACATTCTTAATGACATACTTGCCTATTTGAACGAAATTATCAAATTATACCCTTAGGAAATAGCATCTAGTAATACATGACAGATGTTGACATATGTATGTCCTCACCTATTTCTACACCACTGACGGATTCACGGATATCATATTCCCTGTCTGTAGGTTAATCAAGGTGGTAATAGTAATTTTCCTAACAAGTGCGGAAAGTGATTCTTTCCCGCACGTGACTGCCGTTGACACGAACGACGCGAAGCGGAGTTCGGGCAAGCAGTCGAGTGCGGGAAAGAAACTTTCCGCATGAGTTAGGAACAATATTTTTTCTACAAGCGTAGGAAATTCATTGAATGGTTCAATTAATTATTCAAGCAAATAGGAACAACTAACAAGAGATATATATTCTCTATCTATTTATTATTAGTAATAGCTATTGTGAACTTACAGTTTGACGCATTATGTTGGTTCATTGCGGAAGCCAGCAGGCCCATTAGGAGTTTCGTCTCTAGGTTCTAGACACTTCTATGCAATGAGCCGAAAATACCTATTCTTCATTCGGTTTTTTCATTTCTTTATTGTTGCACCATTCAATAAAACGCGTGTATAGCTTCTCATACCTTTCTTAAGACTTCGTTGGTGATAACGCATCTGTATCAAATCCCTATAGCTAGAAGTTTTTGATCACATCGTGGCATTTCCACTGAATCGAAAATGACAGTAACGCTGTGTCTGTCACTTCGACAATTTCAAACTTATTTGAGGTTTGATTGACATGACAAATTGACGTTTCCCGTCAGATCAATCCAAATCTATAGGGGGATTTTCATAAAAATCAATTTTTATTTCTCAATATTTCTTAATTTTTACAATAAATAGTGCAATTTGATGGATGATTCTGAACATACATACTTAATACTGCAACAAACAAACTTAAACTTTTATATTCCATCACCAACCACTTATATTACTAACGATTTTATCATATCTTTGTTTTCCCGCACTAGTGCGGGAAATTTTTTCCCCTCAAGAAACCATGCCAAAATCACGTGTTCTAGAATGATCAATAGCTAGAAGTTTTTGATCACATTGTGGCATTTCCACTGAATCGAAAATGACAGTAACGCTGTGTCTGTCACTTCGACAATTTTAAACTTATTTGAGGTTTGATTGGCATGACAAATTGACGTTTCCCGTCAGATCAATCCAAATCTATAGGGGGATTTTCATAATAATCAATTTCTATTTCTCAATATTTCTTAATTTTCACAATAAATAGTGCAATTTGATGGATGATTCTGAACATACATACTTAATACTGCAACAATCAAACTTAAACTTTTATATTCCATCACCAATCACTTATATTACTAGCGATTTTATCATATATTTGTTTTCCCGCACTAGTGTGGGAAAATTTTCCCGCATTGTTGCGGGAAAATGACACTTCCCAAACTAAATTGCGTGCGGGTATAGGGTGAATCACGCACGCTTGTAGAAAAATTCATTTTACTTGATTTTTTGGGGTTTTTCTTTCCTCGTTTCTATAATATGAAAATATGCGTATTATTTCAATATATTTGTATTGGGACAAATCAGATGATTTGCCCCAAAATGTCACTGCGTTTAACAAATTCTTTTATCAGGGAGCCTAAAACAAAAATTCAGAAGCTTGTCAGTGACACTTTGTTTGAAAAAATGTTTGCTGGAAAGGAATATAGAAATAGATAATATTGAAAAAATATCGAATTTTCACTCATCTTCGGACGTTTCGGGAAGGAACCTGCTTCCGTTCTCAACATGAAAATACAAAATATTTTTCTTTGGAAGTTGTGGTCTGCATATAGTTTGACACTTCTCAGTGGCATACTGATGTTGGCATAATGAATGAGTGATTTTAGTCTACAAATGAGTTACAGGATGTTTTCATTAATTGATCCTGAATCTTCCATTTTCATGTTCAGTTTTCAGTAGTGAATACCATGTTCTATCTATATCAACTGAACAGGAAGCAATGTTCAGAAGAATGCAAGCGAATTCCTTGATTTTTCTTTTTTGCTTCGAAGCTAACTGAACATATCTTCACTAAAGATGGACAACATTTGGCACAGTGGAATTATATCAAAATCATAGGAAAGGAAGATAACAACCACACAAAAAATCAAGGAATCCACTTGCATTTTTCTGAACGGAGATAATAGCATTGCTTCCTGTTCAGTTGATATGGGTAGAACATGGTATTCACTAGTGAAAACTAAATATGAAAATGGTAGATTCAAGATCAATTAATGAAGACATTCTGTATTCCGGAAGAATAAGTAAGTTATTCTTGAAACACTTCTACATATGCTGGAATTAAGTATAACACTTCTCTTCGAACGGCTCTATTGAAAAGTTACAAAAAATGATAAACGCCTTCTTGAATTTTCACCGAAATGATTTTTCCCACCTGTAATACAATTTTGCAGGTCCGGATTCCTTCCGATCCAGTCTCTGAGGTGCGCCAAACACTCTCTGCGCGCCGTCTCGTTTTCTCTCAGCTCCTGATCCGCTATCTCGTACAGCTCCTTGCCCACACGACCTAGGGGTGGCTTGGAATTGCACCCTGCCGACCAAGCCGGTGCCATCATCAGCTTCGTCGTCATCTACGCCTGTCGACAATAAGATAAATCTGGTGATATGGGATCGAAATTGACCCCAAGGGGTCTACATCGATCCCAAGGGATCTAATCTGATCCCAAGAGGTCTAAATTGGCCTTCACGTGGTCGATGGCATACATGAGGAGTCTACATTGACCCCAGGGGGCTAACATTGACCCAGCAGGGTCTATATACATCGATCACAGCCTTGTCAACATTGTACATCGATCCCAGCTAGGACTACGTAGATATTTGGTAAGTCCCGACCACGTCGGGGTCATCATCAGCTTCGTCGTCATCTACGCCTGCCGACAATATGATCAGTCTGGTGATATGAGATCGAAATTGATCCCAAGGGGTCTATATCTATTCCAAGGGATCTAATTTGATCCCAAGAGGTCTAAGTTGGCCCTCAAGTGGTCGATATCAACCATAAGAAGTCTACATTGACCCCAGGGGGTAATCATCGACCCAGCAAGGTTTACATCGATCCCAGCTCAGTCTACATTGTACGTCGATCCCAGCTAGAATTACGTCGACGTCCTGACCATGTCGATGTCATAATCATTCCGTCGTCATCTAGGCCTGCCGACTATAAGATTAGTCTGGTGCTATGGGGTTGATATGGACCTCAGGAGGTCTATAATGACTCCACAATGGGTCGACACCGACCGCAAACTATAAATATTGACCCCAAGGGTCTACAATCATCCTAGCTGGAGCTACGTCGATATATAGCTGTAGATTTAATCAATCAATGAATCAGCTTCGTAGTCATCTACACCTGCCGATAATAAGATTTTTCTGGTGATATAGGGTCGATGTAGACCCCATGGGGTCGATATTGATTCCGTAAGGAGTCGACATTTACCCCAAAGGGTGTACAATCATCCCAGCTAGGTTTTCATCGACATATGTTGGGTCACGAGTCGACAATAAGATTAGTCTAGTGATGTGGTGACGATGGAGACCCCATGGGGTCGATATTGACTGTCTCAATGGGTGAACATTGACCCCGACGGGTCTACAAAGATCCTAGCTGGGTCTATTTCGATATCTGTTGGGTCATGACCAAACCGATGCCATCATCAGCTTCGTAGTCATCTACGCCTGCCGACAATAAGATCAATTTGATAATATGGGGTCGATATTGACTCCCCAAAGGGTCTATATTGACTTCTCAAAGGGTTTATTGATCCCAGAGGATCTACCTCGATATCTGTCATCTACTACGTCTACCGATAATGAGATAAGTCTGTTGATGAGGTCGATGTAGACCCCTTGAGGTCAACGGGGTCGACAGTAATCCCAAGAGGTCCGCACCGATCCCAGCTGGGACTGCATTGATATCTGTTGGTTCTACATCAATCCCAGTTGTGTCATCGGCCATTATATAAGATAAGATAAGATACATAAGATCTTTAATTTCCAGTAGACAGCAGAACATTGTATTGGAATATTATTTATATTGGGTCTTCATTGAAAATTTCCACTTATAGGAGATGGAGAGCAATCAATTCGAATGTCATTAATTGGAAACGAATCAATTGTTTACCCTAATTATCTCACAGAAAATAAGTTGAAATGGGAGAAACATGCACATCGATTCACATATCTTCAGGGTGGAAGTATTAAAGAAGATGTGATTAAATAAATTCACGAAATGAAAATCAATCAATTCAAATTCCATGAAATGGAAACCAGTCAATTCCCCACTCCGAGGTTTTCTCAGATAATCATGTTGAAATAAGTGAAGAAGGGCTATACACTCAAAAAATCAAAATCAATCAATTTTTAACCTTGATTTCATCACAGAAAATAGTTGTTGATATTGAAAAAAAAAGGTAAATATACGCTTATTAACTCACATACCAACCAGCAATAGAAAAGACAATTATTATAAAATAGTCATCAAAATCAGTTATTAATTCTTCACCTTGAAAGCGTGAATTTTTCCTCAAATTTAGGTATTCATAGGTGAATCGATTATTCATCTATAATTATTAATAAGTATTTACTTTATGTAATTTATCTAATTATGTAATCAAGATTTCTTAGTTAGATTCGGATTGTTTGAAAGAGCAGAAAAATGCTCTTATCAATTTCATTTTCAGTCAATCTGGGTATGGTTGTCATGATTTTTTCTAAAGAAAACTTGATGTATATTAAAAAAAAATAATGTAACCTACTTCCACAATTACTACTATATAAATTGCGAAACTCATATAACAAATAGTCAGTTATAATTTCGAATATGAAAGAAAATCATACAAATATTTCACAGAATGAAAAAAGATGCTCAACTTATAAAAATTGAAGACAGGAGAGCACAAATCAAACAGTCAAATGTATCAAAAGAGCCTTCAGTGTAGTTCAGTCAGCAGAGCAGGACATGTTTCGAAATTTAAAAGTTTCATCATCAGCACTCAAGATACAAGATTGAAAAGGGAGTACTATGTGATATAACAAACGGACCTACACTACCGGATAATGATATAATTTAACTCCATTTCTCTTTTGAACTAATTGTGGGACACAATTTCGATCTTCAAGACGTATTCTCTAGCTGTTTGAATGGCAACTTTAAAACATCAAATTGAGACGAGTTTACGATGAAGAATAGTGACTCATTATACAAGGAGAAAAAGTTGTAGATTTTAGCTCCAGGTTGTGTGAGCTCAAAATCTAATATTTTTTACGTGTATAATACACTACATTTTTCTGTGAAAGAAAATGGGCGAATCAATATTGAGATGATATCGAACATTATATTGAAATCAGAAAATTATCGACTTGAAATTTGAAGTTTTCAACAGGAAATACAACTACGTTGCAGGCATCTTCATCGTTCTTTTGAAGTAATCAAATATCGGCGTCCATTTTAATACCAGAATTAGCTCTTTAATTGGCGTTTCTATTACTGACACAAGAATTGGTATGTTGCTAGGCAACACATTTAGTTGCTACGAGCTAAAGTCGAACTTTAGCTCCTAGGAACTAAAAAGGATGTACTAGAGGTCATCAGGAATAATCAACATTGTTACGGTTGGTTATTTGGGTTGGGACGCATACCTGATTAGTTTCCGATTTCGGCAGATTTGGCATTTCATACCCATGCTGGAGATATGAATACACCTTATTATAGTTGAGTATTTTTGTTTTGATCAGGGAAGCCTTCAAGATTCACATACTTGCTTGATCTGTATTTCATTCGTTAGTCTCCGGGATGGATAACTTGTTTTTGAATAATCACGGCCAGCCAATAGTTTTTTGTCTCAAATAACGATATTGTTCACCTCTATTTGTTTATTAAGCCAAACACGGTGGAGTATGGAGATAAATGAATAATCTCTATATTGTTCAAATTCAAACAGTTATATAAACTTATAAATATTAGATATTTGAGAGTTGTATATTTTGGTCTCGTCGAATCCCGTTTACAGTACGCAATACTAAGCTGGGGCGGCACATATTATACACGTAATTATGCAGAAACTAGTTATACTACAGAAGAAAATTCTAAAAGTAATGCTTGGAAAACTAATGACCTACTCCTCAAAATGTACATTCACTGATGCAAAAATAATGAATTTGAGAAAATTATACATGTTCAGTATGATCATTTATTTATATAAAAACAAATATACATTACAGAGAATCAATCATCCCTATCTAACTAGAACAAAATCGAAACACTATGTGACAACAAATGCAGCCGAAAAGTCCATAGGTCAGCAAAATTTTCAATACGCTAATAGGATTTTCAACTATTTACCAGAAACTTATAAAATGTATATTCTTGAAATCAATTCAATCGAATATATCAAGAAAAAATTTAAAGTATACTTACTGGAGCTAGACATTGACATTGTAGCTAGTATCATAGAAATGTAGGAACGTACATAATATATAATTATGGCTCAAGGCATATATATATGCTAGTAGACTCTTTTTTTCCATATATCCCATGACAACCTGCTGAGGTTTTATGGGTTTGGTTGTTTATTTAATACAATATAGATCAAAATGATCAAAATTACTACTTATACTACTCATATACTTTGTCATTTGTTATCTTTTTCATCTTACTTTTATATTAGGAATTTTTGTATTAATAAACATATATTATTATTATTATTATTATTATATGCTCACTAACCTAACATTTTCCACGTCTTGTTTCAATACCTGGCACTGGCGCGGTATTTGCCATTAGAGCACCTGATCCATACACAAATATGTCACTCTATGGTTGTATTTATATTGGAACTACAATTCGAACATCCTTGAAAATTGAATAAACCTGCTGTTGATACAGGTAGAATATTCTCACCACACGGATTATTACTAACACTAACCTAACATTTTCCACGTCTTGTTTCTATACCTGGCACTGGCGCGGTATTTGCCATTAGAGCACCTGATCCATACACAAATATGTCACTCTATGGTTGTATTTATATGGGAACTATAATTCGAACATCCTTGAAAATTGAATAAACCTGCTGTTGATACAGGTAAAATATTCTCACCACACGGATTATTCGTTGCATTGCATACATATGACACGGCATTGGTTGTTACTGCGCATATTCATTTGAGTTGATTGCTTCGGTTGCAGAAAAAATAGCATGTTCCATTCGGATCGAAAGTGACTTTGTTTGACTCGCAAATGCAAAATTCGCTTGTCAAACAAAGTGTCACTTTTGATCCTGATCAAACAATCTACTATTAGTATAATTCTGTGATTTGATTTAAATAATTTATGTACCGCGAAGTGGAATGAAAGATAAAAGGACTTGCAGTTCTTCCTCGGAGATGGTGATATTGGCTTATTTTTCAGAACCAGCACAACAACAGCCATCAATTTTGTACATACAGGGTGTTAACAAATAAGTGTCACAACGGATAACTGTAAATTGCTCATGAAAAAAGACACATTCTTTTCTCTTTCGAAATTTTTTTCCGGGCTTCCGTTATCAAGATACAGAGCGTAAAAAAAATACAAAAA